AGCATAATAATTGGCAGTCTTTCAATGCCTGAACCTTTGGCTGGTTTACTTCAGTGCTTTGCAAAAGTGAGCCACTCCTTATTTCTTTATACTTTGCATGGAAATAAAAAACAGTTGCAGTGATTTATTAAGATATGTGCAAATGTACACAGAAAGCCTCGATTATGCAAAAGAGTTTGAAAGTCAGTATTTCATATGAATCCCTTTATTCTTCAACACATTCTTACTTATTCTTATGGATAATAGTTTGGCTTTTAATTTTACATAAGCTGAAGTTCACATTATTGATTTTCTACGGCAAAAACATTCAACAAGCTCACTATTTTAAAATGTTTGCCCCATTGATAATGTAGATTTTTCAAAATTAAAGCCTTTTATTTTTAAAAAAATACAAATATTTTTAGGACTTGCAAAGTTTAGAGTGCTGATTACACTCAAGAACTGGAAGACTGGATTAGACTTTATAGGAAAACATCTGAAACAGCTGGGATGAGAAGCAGCTCGTGATCTAAAGCATACCATTTTATCTTTAAAACATGGTGTGGCATGTATGGCTGCCAGTGTTACCTTGTCACTGATGTTTGCTGATGATGCGGCTGCTGATAGAAGTAACAGGATGAATTATAAAGTGCGCAGGGCGATGCGTTCTGCTCAGAATCACCAAAATCTGTAGAAATGCCCAAGAGCTTCTCAAGAAACGGGATATTACTCAGTGGACAAGAGAGTCACCTGATTTCAATCCAACAGAGCCGCTTTTCAGTTATTAAATACAAAACTCAAGGCAGAGAGTCTCATGAACAAGGTCTGGCAGAGCATCTGAGGGAGCAAACGGCATTTGGCAATTTAGAGTTCAGGCCGTCACTCACAGCAAAAGATTTTCATTCAAGTATTAAAAAAATAAGCCGTACATTTAAGATTGTTAGTCTGTTCTGCAGTAGTTAATGCAAAATCTTTGGGTTAAACTTCAGTCACATTTTGATTGTTTGATTTAGTGTCCGCTGTGCTGGTGTCCAGAGCCAAAACTAGAGAAATAAAATGAGCCTTTGTCCAAGAATGGATTTTGTAGCAGCTGCTGTAGAATTGTAGAGAAATTTCATCAAATGGATGAAAATGATAAGATCTAGAAATACTCTGTTGAATTTGGCTAGTATTGCTTACACTTGTTACTTTGCTGTAAAATGGCACGAATGTGTCGGCGGCGAGAAAAATAACGGCGTCATGAAGGGCTTCAAAGATGACGCTTTTATTTCACCGGATTTATTGTAATTCCCTTCAGTGAACTGATACGCGTTGCTTTTCACACGGATATCTTTGTAGCTATGATCCTGTTAAAGATGAAGTGAAACAGGCAACTACTCGGCTCCATTATTTGTTATTATAAAATGCAAACCAGATGTCAATACAGAGCTGATTGTTTTCACAGGGAACATACCAAAAGCAAAAGTAAATGGACCGAAACCACGACACAAATATATCTAAAGATACACAAACAGACTTCAGCAGGCCCTGTAGCTTATTAGTAAACATGCTCATATGATTCATGTTAGAGAAATCCTTCCTTCTAAACAACTCTGCGCACGCACACGGTGCACAAATAACATCAACTGGATGCTGTTGAATGTTTAAATGTTGGGACGTGAAATTCCGTTATCTGCAGCTGATTAACCCCGCCTGCACGTCCCGTTGAAATGCTTTAACGGGACAGCAGGGGGAGACAAATACCTGCGCGGTGTTCCCGTGGATCACGCCATGTTTCCTGGACACCGCACAGAAAACAAACTGCTGTTGCATCATGCAGTTTCCTCCAGACCTCTGACGCGTTTTCTGCGCCGAACAAGAAGTTATGCAACAGTGTGAGAATGCGTGTGTTTTGGCCTCCGCTGATAAACCCACGCAGTGACTGCGTGAAGTCCTGCCAGTCCACATGTAAGGGGGACGAGTTAAAGCATCACCACGACTGCACGGGTGCTGGTTGAAACCCCCACCCTTTGATAATATATTTTTAATATATTAAAAAAGGGGCCTCAAACTCGCGGCCCGGGGCCACTTCTACTGACGTGAAGAAATCTAATGCACAAAGTACTTTTACTGTTAGGGAGGATTTATCTGTTGTTGAGTGTGATGTTAAAATAAGTTCTTTAAAACGCCAAAAATGACTGAATATGAAGCCAACATGAGCAGAGAGCACAAACATGCCGAGGGATCGGCTGTGTTAGCTCAGTGAAAGAGCCACAAACTAATGTGTACACGTATGTCTGCATTTGTATTTTATTAAATACGAACAAAATAAAAGCAGAAATGATGCCACATGTGTGGCCAGGAAGAGAGGACCAGTGTGTTTATTTGGTAGTTCAATGAAAGGCTTCAATTAGTTTACAGTTTTGTCTTCTCATACAATATTTGAAATTAAAAAAAACAAACAAACACTACATTTCAGGAAATATTTGTGGGTTTTTTCTTGTTTGTTTTGTGGCCCTCCAATGAGACGACAGTGTCAGCAGGGGCCCACAGATCATTTAAGTTTGGTTTAAATCAGACATAAATATCACTAATAGATTGTAGTGATCATCTTATTAAAAATAACTGAGCATTAGTTTCACCGGCCTGATATAAACAAGAGATCTAAAGACACGACTGAATCAGGAAGGACATTTTTCACCTTTTAAGATCAGTTTTGACTAAATAATCGTTCAAGTAATCACATTAGCCAGTTCATTCTAAACCAGTTGCTGTAACCCTCGTTACTGCCAACCACACACAGACTCTGGAGACCCTTTCATCACACAGAACATTTCTTGTGCAGTATCATCATTTTTGTCCTCTCTCCACGCACATTTGACCAAGCCCAGCTGATAACATCTCTTGAGATATTTCTATCTGCACAGCTGACTAATCACAGGATGCCCGATCCTGCTGAAATCATACACTGACATGTTTCGTTAATTCAGCAGAAGGGATTTTGTGAGGATCATCAGGTGGCAGAGAGGCTGCCGCTCTTGCAGCAGGTTGCATCAGTCTGCGTCTGGCTGAGAAGAGCGCCTCCCCTCACCACTGCTGCAAGCGTGACTAATGTGTCATGAAACCACAGTCATATTTCCATGTGTGAGAAACATTTACCAACAGCCAAGGGCGTCTGTGACACGGCTCACGTTATCAGGGAGCGTTACTGATACTGGGATTTACAGCAGATTCAGCTGAAACGGCCTCAGCCTTGGCCCGAAGATAAGCCTTCTAGTTAATGTGAAACTACTGAGAGTGCAGGGAAAGTACAGGTCTTTCACTTTCCTGGTTTCAAGCAAAAACAAAAAAGAAAAAAGTGACAGGCCAGACGAGAATGTTGTTCAAAGCATTTTATTGCATTTTTTTTTTTTTTAGAAAAACAATACAAAATTCCAAAGCAACGGTCATAAACGTTGCCTTGGGTGAACTGCAATCATTCACATGGTACAGTAAAGTGCTTATTTTAAATCAAAATACCTTGTACTACAGGATGTATTCGTTTGAAGCCACTTCCCATGAACACAATGGTCTCAGGGGCGATTCAGACAGTGTTAAAAATCAGGTGTCAACCCAGAGCCTGGACTGTATCTGACTGGCACACTGTGCTCATGAGAAGGAACCATTTAAATTGTCTGATCTGCCTTAAATGCTTTCACCTGCAGGCTACATTCAGATTGTGGGGAGACTGTTGGTACTATCCATTCGAATGACTGAATTTTAACACGACGTCAGCGACAATATACAAAAAGAGAAAAAGAAAGAAAGAAAGAAAGAAATGGAGGCTGAAGGATATCACTTTGTCCCCTTTCTCCCAATAAAAGGCAGTCGAAAGAAAACAAAAGCTACTGCCATTCGACATGAAATAGAAATGGTCATGACCCAGAAAACCCTTACTGTACTGGTCGGGATATTACAGAGTATGGCCACAGTGTGCGTTTGAGTATCCACCCCCATTCAAAGACAGGGACAAACTCAGTTGTATGAAGACCCCCCCCCCCAGAAAAAGGCAGAATACTGATCTGTATATTTTCACCCCCCTCCCCCCACAAAGATTGCCTTGATCATTAGCTTAATGCTTTGAGATTACCAATAAGCAAAGTAGTTTCCAAAATGAAGAAACAGCTGCATACACATATTCAAGTAAGTCTTATTATAAGACATAAACCCTCATAACTATGCATCTGTAGAAAGGTATTCTTAGAACTATTACAGTGTCCTATTAACAGAATAACGCGTCATCTGACACCATTTCCAGAGTACCGTCGCTGCAGTGCTGCCGACAGGACACGGAGACGATCAGAAGTTCCCCACTTATCTCTGCTAGGTCGTGGATCATATGTTTCAATGTCATGACTTGAACCCTCTTTGGTGAAATGGCTACAGTGCTGAGAGACGTCATCGCCAGTCCATTACCTGTCAGTTTCAGAATGAGCTTTAACTTAATCTAATTAACGACAAAGAAAGATTATTGCCAACGCAGAGTAGGGAAAAATGAACATGTACCAGCCACTCATGGATAACTGCTCCAAATTCACCAGCAACTTCATACTAATGTTTTCTGTGTCTGAAATGTACCAGCCACTTTCATGTTTTACCACATCGGTGCTGGTGCCAATTCCCCACCCTGCTCACATATAAAAAATAATAATAATATATATATATAACACTTAAAAACTTGCCTTCACTGGGCACGAACGCTCCAGTTCAACTTAAACTTTCTCCATTTTTACCTCATACACCACATACTCAACTTTAAAAACTCAAAAACAAAACAAACATTAAAAACAACAAAGGAAAACATCTGGTGTTTCACCTGAACTGAACAGCACCTGCATGGAAAAAAAAA